ATTGCTGCACCTTTGAATGAGCTTACAAAGAAGGGAGTGCCTTTTAGTTGGGGCAAAGTACAAGAGAACTCCTTCAACATGTTGAAAGATAAGTTGACACATGCACCTCTCCTCCAACTTTCTGATTTTAATAAGACTTTTGAGCTTGAATGTGATGCTAGTGGAATTGAACTAGGTGGTGTTTTGTTACAAGAAGGCAAACCTATTGCGTATTTTAGTGAAAAATTGAGCGGGTCTGTTCTGAATTATTCTACTTATGATAAGGAATTGTATGCTCTTGTTCGCACATTAGAAACATTACTTATGGCCTAAAGAGTTTATTATTCATTCTGATCATGAATCTTTAAAGCATATTCGTAGTCAAGGGAAATTGAACCGTAGACATGCTAAGTGGGTTGAATTTATTAAATCTTTTTCTTATGTTATTAAGCACAAGAAAGGGGAAGAGAATATTATTGCTGATGCTTTGTCTAGGAGATATACCTTGCTGAATCAACTTGATTACAAAATCTTTGGATTAGAAACAATTAAAGACCAATATGTTAATGATGCTAATTTTAAAGATGTGTTGCTGTGTTGTAAAGATGTGAAGGGTTGGAACAAATTCATCTTTAGTGATGGGTTTGTGTTTAGAGCTAACAAGCTATGCAATACAGCTAGCTCCGTTCGTTTGTTGTTGCTGTAGGAAGCGCATGGAGGTGGCTTGATGGGGCATTTTGGAGCTAAGAAAATGGAGGACATACTTGTTGGTCATTTCTTTTGTCCAAAGATGAGAAGAGATGTGGAGAGGTTTGTTGCTCGTTGCACGACATGTCAAAAGGCTAAATCACGGTTAAATCCCCACGGTTTGTATTTGCCTCTACCTGTTCCTAGTGCTCCTTGGGAAGATATTTCTATGGATTTTGTGTTGGGTTTGCCAAGGACTAGGAAGGGACGTGATAGTGTGTTTGTGGTTGTTGATAGATTTTCTAAGATGGCACATTTCATACCCTGTCATAAAACGGATGATGCTACTCAAATTTCTGATTTGTTCTTTCGAGAAATTGTTCGTTTGCATGGTGTGCCCAACACAATTGTTTTTTATTATGATGCTAATTTATGGAGAAAACTGGGGACTAAGCTTTTGTTTTCTACTACATGCCATCCCTAAACCGATGGTCAAACTGAAGTTATCAATAGAACTTTGTCTACTATGTTAAGGGTTGTTTTAAAGAAGAACATTAAGATGTGGGAAGATTATTTGCCTCATATTAAATTTACTTATAATCGTTCGCTGCATTCTACTACAAAGATGTGCCCATTTCAGATTGTATATGGTTTCTTGCCTCGTGCTCCTATTGATTTGATGCCTTTGCCATTTTCTGAAAAACTAAATTTTGATGCTACTAAGCGTGCTGAATTAATGTTAAAATTGCATGAAACAACTAAAGAAAACATATAGCGTATGAATGCTATATATAAGTTTGCTGATGATAAAGGTAGAAAGGAACTAATATTTGAACCTGGAGATTTAGTTTGGTTGCACTTGAGAAAGTATTGGTTTCCTGAATTAAGAAAGTCTAAATGATGCCTAGGGCTGCTGAACCATTTAAAGTGTTAGAGAAAATTAATGATAATGCATATAAGCTCGATCTGCCTGTAGTTTTGGGGTTAGTCCCACATTTAACATTGCAGATTTGAAGCCATATTTGGGAGAAGAAGAAGAGCTTGAGTCAAGGACGACTCAAATACAAGAAGGGGAGGATGATGAGGACATCAACACCAACGATACATCCACGCCGACACAAGTACCAGTTTCTGGTCCTATTACTCGCGCCCGTGCTCGTCAACTTAATCATCAAGTAAGTTCACTCTTGAGTTCCTGTCCATCATATTTAGACCATGGAGATGCATGCACTCTTGTTTTGGTTAGGAACCAGGGAGAGGACCGAAAGGAAAAAGGATTCGCGTAGGCTCGATTCGAACTCCAGGACAGCTCCAACTTGTGATGGTCACCACGGTCGCATATGGACTCAGATTGGGGCGTTCAAGTACTTCGTGAAATCCTTATGAAGTCTATTTTCACATGGATCTAGAATCAAGTCCATATCTATTCTGATGCGGCCGCAATGACCGAATTACTACCGAGAGGTTTTCTGTCCAAAGGTGCTATGTCGCCTTAGTTTGGCCCAATGGGTTGTGTATCAAGTCAGGTCCATTAGGGATGCGTCCTAGGGTTGGAGCATGGCCCCAACACCCTAGTGGTCGTCCCTCCACCTTCATATACCCCTTAGCCATCACCAAGAACAGTTGGATTTTATTTAGATCAAGTTTAGCTCTCGCTACTTGCTTATAAGCGCGCGTGCTGGATCAGCCGCCCGTCTTCTTGTCTCTGGAACCCCACCTTATTTGAGATTGAGTTTGAAAACCTTCATCTTCATCTGGTAAATTCAGTACTTGTTATACTTGTTCTTGCTAGTTCTTCGATTGCTTGCAGGACGAGTGCCCTAGTGGCCGGGTGACGTGCTCTACAAGATCGCGACAGCCATTGGAGGTGGTGTATCGGTTGCTAAGACGCAGCTTGGAAGGCTATAGTCGAGCCGTGAACGTCGTCTCCATCCATCAATCGAGTTATACCACGCCCTCTCATCGGAAGTTCAGGATTCAACCCTAGCGGGTTCATACCATGTGTAAAATATATGCGACATCTAGATAAAAAAGATTACAACAGGCGTCTAGAAACAGATGAAACATTTTAAACAAATGCTTGCAAAATGCCTCTGAAACACTTGCAACATATGCAATATGTGCAACATCCCCCGATCTACTTTTGCAACATAAAGATAAAATAATTGCAATATACATCTGAAACGTCTGAACCACTTGAAACATACATATGCAACATAGGGGAGGGAAGGCTAGGCCAGTCGATCCCGACCATCGGGGTGGGAGCCGGTGGCTAACCATGGCGCGCGAGCACCACCAGCACTGGCCATGCTCGTGGGTGCCCTTGGCTTGGGTGGGGAAGACCTGAGGTGCCACGACACATGTGCCCCAGCAGCCATGGCGAGGTCAGCGGTGCGCCCAACGGTGATGGGCCCCGAATGAACGGCGAGGAAGCGAGCGACGTAGGTGACTACCACGCAGGTGAGCGGCGCAGGGAACGAGGGCGCGCGGACGGCGATGGAGGGAAGGGCACGGCACGGCAGCCCAACGAAGTGCACGTAGGGGGGAAGGGGGTGGATGAATGAGCAGCCACGCCGAGCGACGTAGGTGGCTGCCATACAGGTGAGCGGCGCAAGGAGCCAGGGCGTGCGGCGCGACCGGCAACGGGGAAAGGAAATGAAGCGGTAGCTCGACGAGCATGCGCTGGAGAAGGGGGGCGGATGGATGAGCATCCACACTGCTTTGGGCCCGGACGGATAAGCACAAAAGTGTGGGTGTGGCTCGGGAGGGATGAGCGGATAAGCACAAGGGAATGTGGATTGTTTTTTTGTTTGGGGTCCGCGCCTAAAGAGCCGCGTCCGAACGCAGAATAACGGCCGGACGCCCTACGGGAAGTATTTCCGTTGAATGATTGGTTTGGTTTAGTGAAAGCAGTCTTCGGAGTATGAGCTTCATGGAGGAAATGCGGTCTTAGGAACTAGAGCTTCTTAGGAGGCATCTTGTACTTGGTGAAGTCGTTCGCAAAACAATAAGCTTATTGCTTGCAATGTTGGTAGCTGGTTGTGGTAACAACAATCACCTCTTTTATTGTGTGCACAACTGCAAACTAGGCCAAGTAACCATTACAACAATGCAAACTAGGAACAAAATGTTGGTAATTGCCACTGTGTTGTAAATTAATTAGTTTATCCTATCTGGTATGGGCATTCATAATCTTGATCATTGTCTTTTAGTACGTTTTCATGGCTATTGGCCCCCTTCGCTTCACTTAAAAAACAAGTGAAATCACTGTTCCGGCTGATTTGTTGTGAGAGAAAAATACTGTTTCGACTGAAAAAAAATAAGCTGAAAAAGATGGATTGGAAGACAAGCGAACATAGCCATTGTATGCTATAAACTTATTCTGTAGCGTGCATGGAAACAAAAATGTCTAAAATGAAATAAAGCGATCGTGGCCTTGCTCGTTGGCAAACTGTATATAAAGGGGGTGTTTGGTTCCAGAACCAAACTTTAGTCCTTATCATATTGGATGTTTTGATATTAATTTGGAGTATTAAACATAAATTAATTACAAAACTCATTTGCGAGACGAATCTATTGAGTCTAATTAGTTCATGATTTGACAATGTTGTGCTACAGTAAATATGTGCTAATGATGGATTAATTAGGCTTAATAAATTCATCTCACAAATTAGTCTTCACACTGTACCACATCCCAACATTAACGTCACATGAGGTCGTTAAAAATACCAAAATAGCGTTGGAAGGTCATACGTTAAAGATTTGTAATATTCGGTCGGTCGTTATATCTTATTTTTCAATAGACGTTGTTATTTCGCTTTGCCGTTGGATGGTCTGATCTTGTATCTTAGGGCCTGTTTGGTTACTACACCTCCTCCTAAAATTCCTATCACATCGAATATTTAGACACATGCATGGAGTATTAAATATAGACTAATTACGAAACTAATTACACAACTTGCGACTAATTTGTGAGACGAATCTTTTAAGTCTAATTAGTCCATGATTTGACAACGTGGTGCTACAATAAACATGTGCTAATTACAAATTAATTAGACTTAAAAAATTCGTCTCAAAAAATTAACCTCCGTCTATGTAATTGGTTTTATAATTAATCTATATTTAATGCTCCTTATTAATATCTAAATATTCAATATGACATAAATTATAGGAGCGAGTAAAGGACCGAACATCCCTTAGTTTTTTCAACTAATCAACCGTTGCTACATAATAATTGAGCTCGCGCGTGCTTGGCTGGCCCAGTTCCCGCCTTATATTTTGGCGGCCCACCGGTCATAACCAAATTCTTCCAAACCCAACGCTTATCCCCTCCCTCACTCGGCACTCCCCACCGCGCGCGACTCGCCGCCGCCCTCCTGCTGCTGCTTCACGGCATCCCTGCCCCCGTCGCCGTCGTCATCGCCGAGGAGGCGAGGCGCGGGCCGGGCCTCGTCCTCCTCTCCTTCCCCCGGCATCCCCGCCCTCGCCATCGTCGTCAACGCTCGCCCAGCCGTCATCAACAGAGCTCGCACCTGCCGTGTCGTCAGCGCCCGAGGAGACGAGCACCCGCCCTACGCCAGGTGCCCAATTCCTCGTCGTGTCCTTCACCTGCAACGAGCGCCCACCACCAGGTATGCACGCCCCCTCTCTTCCCTTGCTGTTGCAACGTGCACGGGACCCTAACTCAAGCTATTTGCCTATTAGCATCTGGATCTGATCTATTAGCATCTGGATCTGATCTATTACTTAGTACGCCGGTGACGAGCGCCCACCAAGTATGCAGGCCCCTTATCTTCCCTTGCTGTTGGGATGAGGACCCGTCCCCTAACTTAAGCTATTTTGTTGCATCCGGATCTGATCTAATTACAAGTGTATACATGCTTCTGATTTTTGCAAAAAAAACTTCTTTAGGCCCAGGTGGACACTGATTTGTTGTTTTCAGGTTTCACTTGTCATAAATTATGATCTCACAGCTAATTGTGAGCTTTACATCCACTGCATTGGTCGCTCTGGTTGTTCTGGGCGCAAGGTGAAGTTTCTAATTTCTGCTACTAATTATTGCTTCTGTTTATTCTAGTGGACAGATTTGTTGTTGCTTATTTCCTTAACTGACAGAAATGAATACATAGTTCATGCAGAGCTTCAATGTGTCATCCAGATTTATTGTAGGAAGTATAGCAGTTGCCTTTAAATTTACTCAGTATGGACTGTGGCTTAGTTTGATCTTCAGTGTGGGCTGTGGTTTAGTTTGATCTTCAGTTACTCCACATTCAGTTACTGTGGCTTAAGATTATTTTTTTCCTGTTTGTTTTGCTTCCTGTGGATAGTTCAAGGGAATCTATAGCTTAGTTGAAAACAAGTGTAGCTCATGAGAAATATGGAAAGTTGACTTATAAGATAGGTGCCCCCCCCCAAACTGATCACCCTATTTTGCAATGTTTATTCTTGTTAAAGTTAATATGCATGTGTTGTTTTTCTTGCTTGCTTGCCTGCCTGTCAGTACGACTGAATTGAATTGAATTGAATTTCAGGGACATCTAGGAATCTAGGACAGTTATTCTTATTAAGCTGTTCTTTGACATGACAAATTTATTCAAATTTTGCAAAGTCATGTTGCTCTGTTAGATGTAAACAAATAGGACACTGATAACGCTGTTCACTTTGACTGTCTCATTTACTAATCCCATTAGGTGCAAGACAGATCCTTGCTTTTCTCCTTTTGTCTGTCTACATGTAAATGTAATGGGTAAAAAGAACCTTGCTTTCTTGCAGTGTATTCAGCGTATTCAACATTGCTTATTTCTTGCAGGAATTTTAAGATTGCAGGGTTATGGATGGCAAAAAAAAGTTTTCGCATTTATTATCTTATAGCTAGGGGGACTTGACAATGTCGCTGAAATAATTAGACTATCAGCATAGAAAGTGGCAGTTTATGGATGGTAAAAAACTAATTGTAATTATATCTGATGCAGGGTTAGCTGGCGTTTCTCTCCATGTTGATAGAAGGGCAACAAACCAGGTCTTATGTTGCTCCATTTTAGCCATATGTGGCAATTATGCCAGAAGCCAATTTATCAAAATAATGCTCAAACTGCTTGCATTAATTTTGCAGAAGAATACACAACTCTTGAACTCCCTTGGACTGCAGATCATGCAATACAGCAGTTTGGGAGGACCCATTGTTCTAATCAACTTCTGCTATGCAGGTCAGTTCCCTACCCCTGCTTATTGTGCGCATGCTATCAGACACATTTTTTCTGGTCATCATGTGCATAACGGTTTCAGTTTGGCAATTTCATTTTTTTGCAGCCAACAAACATAAAGCTGGACCAGTTGTTAGTTAGACAAATAAGTGTTCATGACTCCACATAAAAGAAATCAAGCCCAGTCCCTGTACAGCTAATTTTTATTTTATCATTGCCATGTTTTCATTGCCCACCGTTATTAAGAGTCGGTACATGTAGTTGATATAATATTAGTTGTCGATCATTGGTTGAAGATCATCTTACTTTCCAATTCCAGGCATATTTCATTTGTCAGTGTCACTAGCTTTAGTGGACTGAAGGTCTCTTAGTGTGGATGCCTCTCACTGCACCATAGATGACGTCATAGCTGAAATACCATGTGTCATAGCTGAAATTGTAATGGGTTGAAACCAGAGTATTGCTGTTTGTGCTGCCTGTTAAACCATTGCTGAAATCATAGAGTATTACCTGCTGGCTGTTTGTGCTTGGTGCTGGTGTTGGTGCCGCCTGTATACTATGAGCCTTTTTATGAAGTTTTAGGTTGTGTTTTTTTGATGAATTTCAACTTTTATTTACAGGTGGTGGGAGGAAATAGCTGGAAGTAGACTGCAGCCAATGATTGGATCACAGTGCTCATGACGACGTGTTTTGGACATCCTAGCTATAGATGAAAACTTTTGTTTGGACTTACTAGAGGTGGATCATTTTGTAAAGAGTGGAAGCAAACTATGAGACATGGGTTGTGGAACCGAATATCTCTAGTCTAGCATTTTGGCCAAACTTATTTCATCTTAGCTTTTGTTTGCCATGAATTGTGTGTAAAATGGCATGACGGCTTTAATATAACTTGTGAGCTTTGGTCCAGTTTATATGTGTTTCATGACTGTATTGTTTGAATGTATGACATGGTTAGTGTTGATTGTATGGTTAACATATAAACAAGAAATGATATTATATGTTATTTTTTTTTGTATGGATAGCGTTAGGCAGTTGGTCGCTATAAATATATATCATCAGACAAGGTCAGTCGTTAAAAATCAGTCGGACGTTAAAGTTTATAACGACGTCAGTATCAACGGCAGATATAAGTGTCGCTATAGATTTATAACGACCGACAGTAGGTCGTTAAAATGACTTACAACGACCTACATGGCGACGCTAAATCTGGGCTGTGGTATAGTGTCATCTGTGCAATTAGTTTTAGAATTAGCTTATTTTTAGTCCTTTTAATTAGCATTCGAACATCCGATGTGATAATGACTAAACTTTAATTCTGATTGTAGTAGGATTTGGAGGTAGCACAATTTGACGTCAAGCTAGTACGCTAAACATGTTACTAAAGGCACAAGATACACTTACCACTACCAGTCATGTTCATTCAAATGGTTCTAGACGATAAGGTGTTCTTGTTTTTGTTGGTGTTTCTACGTTTTTTTTAACTTTTTCTCTAAAATTTATCCTTAGTGTACTGTGTTTGCTACCTTCTTAAAGGAATATATACGCGCTTGTGCACAGTCACGAAAAAGGAAAACTGAAAGGTTGTCACATGGAACCATGTAATATAATAACAAACTGAATTTCCCATGTTTTATTCACAACAATTCAAAAAAGCTCAAGCCCATAATATTAGGATACATACTTAATATAATTTGATATCAAGTTGTTCGGAGAAGAAACCTGTTACTATTAGTGACGAGACAAATTTACAATAAAAATAATACAATAATTTTAATAGCTCGAGACAAGAGTGTAGTCATCTTACTGGAGTCCATAATGTGTAAACTGCACCGAGCCATCGGATGTGCAGTTTATCGGATATATAATCAAATTATAACACTTTCGGAGTTTGAGTCCATCCAAATTACCACAATTAGTAAATATAGGATTGGGAGTTTACCACAATCTCACATTGAGCCAGAGGAAATCTACGCACAGTAGACATCCATAAGCAGGAACCAATTTACTTTGAAATGTTTTCAATAATTTGAGTGCCTGGAACCAATTTACTTTGAAATGTTTTCCATAATTTGAGTGGCTGTATATATAGAATTGTTACTAATATGTATCTTCCTCATATATGATTTATTTACTCTAATCTTATATTCACTTCGTTTCAAATTGTAAATCATTTTATCTATTCTAGATAGTACATAGTTTTTTTTTTCCACGTACCTACATTATGTCTAGATACATTGTACTAGAAAAATCAGATTAACTTATAGTTTAGAATGGATGGAGTATTTAATCAAGTGTGCAAAAAGAGAACTATGCTTAAAAAAAACGATACCGGTATTCACCTCACCCTACTTACAGCATAGCCAACATCCATAAGTAGGAACATATAGAAATCATTCTCGGTCAATTGAGCCGACACAGATAAGATACAAGCGAACAGGAAATTTACCATTCACAAAATTGTGAAGATGACGGGAATGTTACGGCGCCCTTCTTTTACCATTGAGGGCTTGTTTGCCGATTGATTTTGCGTGGTGTTGCACTTTAATTAACGGAGGCGGTCACAAAATCCAACCGTCTCTAAAAATACCAGGTGATTAACGAAGGCGGGCGTTTTTATTTACGGAGGCGGTCACTTTTGCCCGCCTCGTAAAATCGATTTACAGAGGCGGTCAAAAAATAACCGCCTCCGTAAATCGATTTACGGAGGCGAGCGTCTTAACACAACCGTCTTCAAAAATAGTCTATTTTCTGAGGCGGTCGTCTTTAAACGTCCGCCTCCGTAAATCTATTTTTGGAGGCGGGCACACTACAAGGCCCACCTCCAAAAATGCAGGCCCAGCCTAGCCTAATTTTTTGCTCGGACTATATATACTCGAGACTTAGGTTTCATTCTTCAATTTCACTCTCTCTCCCCTCTCCCTCCGACGGCGCACACGTCTCTCTCCCTCATTGTTGACAAAATATGGTCGGCACTCTACCGAGGGATTATGCCCACGGTAGTAGATGAATCGGTGGAGGTGCACGTAATAGGAGCCGGATGGGGACACAAGCAGCAGAGACAGGTTCAAGCCGTCTGATCGACGTAATACCCTACGTTCTGTGCCTTCGGTGGATTGTATTGAATATGAGATGCATTCGAGGGGGGTCCCTACCCGCCTTATATAGTCTGGAGGGTAGGGTTACAGGTCGATTTAAGTTTAGATCTATTCGGCTATATGGTAAGTATTTACAAGAACTACGATATCTATTATATCTGAACAGATCTTCTTTCATCGCCAAGATGTCTT